GGTTGGTTCTGACGTTGGCTTGCCAAGGCGCACGAGTACGACTTTGACGTTGCCCCGAGGCTCTCGCCCCGCCTCGAGGTAGCATGTGGGCTGCTGTTTGCGCTGCTGCAAAAAAATCCTCCTCCTCCTCCTCCTCCTCCTCCTCCTCCTCCTCCTCTCTCCTCCTCCTCCTCCTCCTCCTCCTCCTCCTCCTCCTCCTCCTCCTCCTCCTCCTCCTCCTCCTCCTCCTCCTCCTCCTCCTCCTCCTCCTCCTCCTCCTCCTCCTCTCCTCTCCTCCTCCTCCTCCTCCTCCTCCTCCTCCTCCTCCTCCTCCTCCTCCTCCTCCTTCTCCTCTTCCTTCTCCTCCGCCTCCTCTTCCTCCGCCTCCTCTTCCTCCTCAGGAGGGAAAGGTACCCATACCGATACCCTTCCCTCGTCTGTGGCTTTTTGGGCCTCCCGGGAGACTCTCGTCAACACCGCTGGACTCGCTTCGAAATTCTGGTCAGAACGCACCCCGGGAGAGGACTCGGTAGTAGCAGTATCGGCGCCTTTCTGTTTCCCCAGTCCTCCCCGTGCCTCTTTTCCCCGTCGCCCTTGTACCCTCATCGCACCCGTCCGCGACGAGTCCGTTGTCCTCCTCGTACTCGTCCGCTTCGCCCTTCTCCTTCTCCTCCTCCTCTTCCTCCTCCTCCTCTTCCTCCTCTTCCTCCTCCTCCTCCTCTTCCTCCTCCTCCTCCTCATGAGGCTCGAGCCCGTGTCTCATGGCAGGAGCACTCAGGGGTCGATCGTCGCACACGGCTGGATTTATTCGATCCTCAGTCGCAGTCGCCGCATCCCGCCTGCGCCCCAGGTGCCGCGCAGCCCTTCCGTGGGCCGTGCCGTGCCGTGGGCCGTGCCGCGTGCCCACTGCTGCGCCGTGCTGCATGCCGCGTGCCGTATGCCGCGTGCCGTGTTGTGCAATCCGCCCGCGCCAGGGGCGGGATTACAACCAATTCCCTGAGGAGGAGGAGGAGGAGGAGGAGGAGGAGGACGAGAAGGAGGAGAGGGAGGAGGAGGAGGAGGAGGAGGAAGAAGGAGGAGGAGGAGGAGGAGGAGGAGGAGGAGGAGGAGGAGGAGGAGGAGGAGGAGCGAGGAGGAGGAGGAGGGGAGGAGGAGGAGGAGGGAGGGGGGGGGAGGAGGAGGAGGAGAGGAGGAGGAGGGAGGAGGAGGAGGAGGAGGAGGAGGAGGAGGAGGAGGAGGAGGAGGAGGAGGAGGAGGAGGAGGAGGAGGAGGAGGAGGAGGAGGGAGGAGGAGGAGGAGGAGGAGGAGGAGGAGGAGGAGGAGGAGGAGGAGGAGGAGGAGGAGGAGGAGGAGGAGGGAGGGAGGAGGAGGAAGGAGGAGGAGGAGTGGAGGAGGAGGAGGAGGAGAAGGAGGTGGAGGAGGAGGAGAAGGAGGTGGAGGAGGAGGAGGAGGAGGAGGAGAGGAGAAGGAGGAAAGGAGGAGGAGGGGCGGGTCGTCGGCGGTGCCCTTCTCGGCGTCTGGGGGCCATGGAGGCCTGCTCGCAGCAGGAGACTCCCCCCGCCCTCCCAGCCTCGTGCGTCGGCCGCTCGGGGGCTCCATCCGCCCGAGCCGGTGCGCCAGTCCGTCTGGCCCACGGCATGTGCGACGGTGCACGGAGGGTAAGCGCGTGGGCCAGGAAGGGTGTGTTTCCTCCTCCTCCTTCTCCTCCTCCTCCTCCACCTCCTCCTCCTCCTCCTCCTCCTCCTCCTCCGCCTCCTCCTCCTCCTCAACCGTGTTGCGCGAGCTCCTCGCCGGTAAGCGAGCGGCCTCCCCGCACGTGAGGAGGGAGGTATCCCCGTGTGATGGCGCAGGGCGGCCCTTTTGCGATGAGGCAACACTCTTTGTGAGGCAGCGCTCTCGCGCGGTTTCGCTTCTCTGTTCTCCATGGCTCCATGGTTCCTTCTCCTCTCTTCCTCCTCTTCCTCCTCCTCCTCCTCCTCCTCCTCCTCCTCCTCCTCTTTTTCCTCCTCCTCCGTTCCTTTCTTCTCCTCCTGCGTTCATTGCTATCCTCATCGTCCTCCTCGCCTGTCCTTTTCGTCCTGCTCGTCCTGCTCCTTGCCCTCCTCGTCGCTCCACGGGAGGGGGGGAGGCCCAGCCGCCTGCTGCGCCTGCCTGTGCTCGCTCTCCCCTTCGGCGCACTGCGGATCCTTTGTCCTCCCTGTCCTCCCCCTCCTCTCTCATCCTTCCTCCGTTGCCATTGCTCCTCCTGGGCGGCGTCGACCCTCGATCCTCGTCCTCGTCCTCCTCCTCCTCGTCCTCGTCCTCCTCCTCCTCTCTCCTCCTCCTCCTCCTCCTCTCCTCCTCCTCCTCCTCCTCCTCCTCCTCCTCCTCCTCCCTCCTCCTTCCTCCTCCTCCCTCCTCCTCCTCCTCCTCCTCCTCCTCCTCCCCTCCTCCTCCCTCCTCCTCCCTCCTCCTTTCCCTCCTCCTCCTCCTCCGCATCCTCCTGCTCTTCCTCCTGGTTGAAGTGGGCAGTTGGTTCTCTTGGGTTACGCCACATCCGCCGACCCCTCTATAAACGACTGCGCCTCCAGAACTGCATTCCACGAAGCTTGTCCGAATCATGACACGGCGCTCGACATCGTTTCTGTTGCCTCGTTGCTGTTATCGTATTTCCCGGGACCCACGCTTTTTCCCGATCCGTTCCCTGGCGGCCCCCGGTGGGCTCCGAGACGGCTTCCCGCTGCACTCCGAGGGTGTCACAAAACTTGTTCGTGGGCGACAAACATATCCGTTCCCGCGGCATTTCTGGGGATGCCCCGCGCGTAACCATTCCGCGCGACACATATTCGCGGCATCGCGCCCCCAGTTTCGAATGGTCTTGGGGGCCCTTTTGGGGCGTTTTGGGGGGCCTCTTGGGGGCTCCTTGGGGCCTCTTGGGTGCCTCATGGGGGCCTCTTGGAGCCGCTTGGGGGCCTCTTGGGTCCTCCAGAGAGCTTCGTTGGGCGGAGTGCTGGAATCGCGACTCGTGGTCCCTCTCTTGGGCCCTTCTTGGGGCCGTCTTGGAGCTCTTTTTGTGCCGTCTAAGGCGCCTCTTGGGCCACGTTGGAGTTTTTGTTTGGTTGTCTTTGGGTCCTCCTGGGGGCCTCGTGGGCCGTCTAGGGGTGGGGGCCTCGTTGGGGCCTCGTGGGCGGCTTTCAACACCGTGAAGGCTAACAAGTTGGAGATGCTGAGGGACGCACGTCTTCCCAAGGAACTTTCAAGATTTGGGTTTCTTGGGGGCTTCTTGGGAGGTCTCTTGAAGGCTCCGTGGGGTGTCTTGGCGGCCTCTTGGGCCGTTTTGAGCTCATCTTGGGGGTCTTGGAACGATGTTTCGGCGAATTTGGGTTCTCGTGGACCGTCTTGGCGGCTTCTTGGGAGGCGTCAAGTGCTGTCGCGCAGCTCAAGAGCGAGCCCAGGGAGCCCAGACCGCCCCGGGTGAGTTCGGTCCGGGGCCACCCGGGGCCCGGGGGCGGGGTCAAAATCCCGGTTTGGGTCCTAGGGGAGGGATTATGTGTGTGGGGGAACAATCTCACGCGCCTGGAGACCCAGAAGGTGTCAGCGAATTATCCTTAATCTCTTTCTGTGTGCGTTCCGTCTCCTTTGGGCTCAGACTGGCAAGTCAAAGCGATTGCAAAGCAAGCAGCGACACCTTAATTTGGAGGGTGAAAGTGGGGGTCGGGCGCAGGGTCATGGCAATGGTGTCTTTCTCGGCCATGCATGGGCGATACATCCTCGATTGCTGTGTTCGGCGGGGGAACCAAACTTAACCTCCCCGCCTGCATCCATGCGCGAGATTTTAGGGTAAACGAAGCAAGGGGGCGGGGGCCTCGGGAAAGGCGACGAAGGCAACGTGCGCTGAGGGCGGAAAAAAAACAGGTTGGAAGAAACGAAAGCGGTGAGGTTAGTGTCAAAATCTGCTAAGCCAATCTGACGTTCGGAACGCTGCGCCTCAGTTCTGTGGATCTTGCAGGCCAGGGCAGAACGTGAATTCACATTGTGGGGGAAAGCAACATGTGAATTCACATTCTGGGAAACAGGAACATGTAAATTCACAGTTAGGAAACAAGAAATATGTGAGTTCACAGTTTGGAATTTTATCGGAAACCCGATGAAGGGATCAGAATGTGAATTCACATTTGGGGAAAATGAGACTGTGGATCCAGATTTTGGAAGAAAAAGGAGGATGCTAATTCACATGCTGGGGGAATCGCGGGACCCATTCCACACCTGTCTTGGGGGTCGACAAGTCACCGTTTGGGGAAATAAACGATCATCCATCGCACAATCAGGACACACTTGCACTCCACTTCGCCGCCCCACGCGCAATATGCAAGAAGGCCCGCACGCATGAACGATCATGGATGGACGGCGCGCTTGCCCGCGCGGGCAGCGCGCGGGCGCGAGCGACGGGTCCTCCATGACCGCCACCATTGGATGCCAATCGTACCCGATTACATACGTGAGCGATACGTTGAGCATACATGTGCCATTCAGCCCCCATTGAAGACCCCCTGTTGCAGACCCCCTCTTTCACCCTCCAAGTCACACAACACATCGTTACTCTACACATGTATATCTACAGATGTATCTTCCTCATCCGTGTTTTTTCTCTGGGGCGCCCTCTGGCGCTCGACCTCTGCTAGCGGAACGGGAATTGAGAAGTTCCTGCTCCGTTGCCGGGCTGGGCATTGAAGAGCGCCTCGCCCGTCAACGCGAAGAGCCACGGCCAGTGCCCCTTGAAGGCCTTGCGTGGGCAGGAGACGTCACCACAGTCATTCTCAAGAGAAGACGTGGGAGTGAACACATAGAAGACTCCAGGTCGAGTGCGAGCTGGCCACGCGGACCTGCAGCTGCCCGCCAATGGCGGGCAGCTGCGGCCGGCTTCCGAGCGAGGTTCCCATGGCCCATGGGGACCTCGCTCGGAAGCCGGCCGCCCGCAGCTCAGATTGACGACGCGAGTCGCGTTCAAGGAAAAGCCCGAGCCTTCGCCTTTTTCCACCGAGGTCTGCGACACCAGAGTGGTCACGTTTGCCAACTCCACCGCCGCCCGCTATTTCCTCACCACCAAGAAGAACGATGGCGACTCCAGGCGCACACCACACGAAGAGCAGACAACCTCACCTGCACGGCCCCCAGCCCCTGCGCTACCGGCGAGGAGCAGCCGTGACGGTGGAGACTCCTCCGTGGCGGTCACCAGAGCTGGAAGCGGACCCGACCTACCCGCGCAGCGTGGTAGAGTGGAGCAAAGACGTGAGAAAGTGGCGCACACGGTAGCAGACGGTATCCCCATCCAAGTACTCCAGCTCGGAGCAGAAGTGGACATGAGGGATGGCACCGGCACGCGTAGGCACGCCGGCGTCGACATCTTGCCGTCAATCTTGCACCCCAAGTTCCCGCCAGATGCCGAGGCCAGCACGTTGCGGACACGCCTTGAATTCTTCTATTTCACCCCGGCTCGGGATGGCGATCTCGAATCCATGTTTCTGCGCTTCGACATGCTCCTGGACCGCGCAAACAGCGCCGCCGAGCTCGGGGCCAGCGTCCCGTTCCGCACCTGGGCGCCTTTGAGTTTGCTGCGGCTCCTTCCCGAAAGCGGGCGGACATCCCGAGGGAAAACGGCGGGAAACTCCCACGAAGGGAGGCGGAGCACGTCGAGGTTTATGCTGCCCCCTCCGGCGTTAGCCTGGATCACCAGGAAGAATTTCGAGCGCCCCCCAAAGCAACGAACCTCGAGGATTTTCACGCGTCGGGCCCCGGGAGACACTCGTTCGACATTGTTTCGACACTTGTCCGACGCTTTCCCGGCACTTGTTCGACACTTTTCCAGGTGGTCGAAATCATTTCTGGGACGTGGCCCTTAAGTGCGACGGTGGCAACATAATTCGAGGTGGAATTTACACCCAGATCATCTGGGGCCGGCTTAACTCGGTAACGGATATTTGGGTTGTCGACTTCAGGTCGCGACCGGATCCCGGTTTTGACGCCATCCCGATGTAATTGAAAAACGCCCCTGCTCATGATTTCTGAAATCTGGTATTGGCAACCCGCATGTCGGCATCGATTGCGACGCAGAATTCGGCATCGTCGAACGCGAAATTCAGTAACGAAACAGGCGCGGAATTCGGCATTCCTGCTGCCAAATTTCGGTAACGACGGCGCAGGATTTCGGTAGCGATGAGACGCCGAAATCCAGTATCGCGGAACGCGAATCCAGTAACGGAATTACCGGAATTTGCACGCTGGTTCAACCGTGCACACGTGACTCCTGATACCAGAATCAATCCCTGGATTCCAGCCTGGAGGGTCGCTGACCTAAAAAGTTAGGTCAGGCGATCTTGTCCTAAAACACTTTAGGCCGACCTAAAGTACTTTAGGTTCGACTTAAATTTTAGGTCAGCCCGTTCGCGAGCCGTCAAACGACGGGCGCTATCCGCAACAAAAAACCACGACGACGGACGGACGGACGGACGAACGGACGACGACGACGACGAAGACGGACGCAATGACGACGATGGCGGCGGAGACGACGACGACCGACGACCGACAGGTCACGATTGACGACGGCATCGACAACGACAGCGACGACGACGCAGCCGCCGACGCCGTCTTGGCCGTCTTCGCTATGCCGTCCCCGTTTCGTGTCAGTCGTATGTGTCTTCTTTGTCATTCTCCTATGTTTCGATCTTCCCCTTCTGCTCCTCCTCTTCCTCCTCCTCCTCTTCCTCCTCCTCCTCTTCCTCCTCCTCTTCCTCCTCCGTCTTCCTCCCTTCCTCTGTCCCTCCCTCTCTCGGTCCTTCCTTCTCCTTCCTCCTCCTGCTTCTCTCCCCCAGTCCTCCCCCCTAGCCACCTACATTGTTCCTCGTTTCGGGTACCCTTTGGGGCGAAGCTCGGAAAGTGCGGCAGCACTTCGATATATTTAAGCTTGGGGGGTGCGGCAACACTTCGATATTTTTTCGCGCCCCGAATCGGATGGGACGCGTCCCGTCCTGATTTCTGTTTGCCAAACACCTCCGAACATAGCCGAACATAGCCCCAAACCCTCGAATACATAGCCAAACGCCCTCCGCCCTGATTTGTTTTACGACGCGAGCATGCCTGGGCAGCATACCCTTCCCGAAGCGACCTCGGCCTGCTGCCTCGGCCCGACCATCACAGGACAGTTGTTTCCGGTGCGAAGCTATCGTGTCGATTCGACTCTCTGCGTGCGCGTGCGAAACAATGATGCTGCCACACACTCCTCACATTCAAACGAATCCTCTCGACCAGAGCAGCGGAGGAGGAGAAGGAGGGGGAGGAGGGCAATCTTAAAGGAGGAAGGTAGAATGAGCAACGGTGCAAGTATACACGAATTTGCGAGTATAATGAGCAACGACCATCACGGGACAGCGCCAGCGAGGGAACGAAAGGGGGCGCCGCAGGCCACGGCGGGCCTCGGCCACGCAGCAGGCTCCCTCGACCCAAATCTCGGGAACGGCTCAGACATCAGAGCCTCTCCTCCCCCCTCCTCCCCCTCCTCCTCCTCCTCTTCCTCCTCCTCCTCCTCCTCCTCCTCCTCATCCTCATCCTCATCCTCATCCTCATCCTCATCCTCATCCTCATCCTCATCCTCTCCTTTCTCATCCTCCTCCTCCTCCTCCTCCTCCCCTCCTCCTTCCTCTCCTCTCCCTCCTCCCTCCTCCTACTCCTGCTCCTCCTCTTCCTCCACCGCCTCCTCCTCCTCCTCCACCTCCTCCTCCTCCACCTCCTCCTCATCCTCTCCCATCATCCTCACCCTCATCATCATCCTCATCCTCATCCTCCTCCTCTCCTTTCTCATCCTCCTCCTCCTCCTCCTCGTCTCTCTCCTCCCTCCTCCTACTCCTGCTCCTCCTCTTCCTCCACCTCCTCCTCCTCCACCTCCTCCTCCTCCACCTCCTCCTCCTCCTCCTCCTCTTCCTCCTCCTCCGGCTCCGCGCGGCGGCGGCCCGAGGGCCGAGCACCTTTTCGGCATGTCAGTCGTGGTGTACAGCCTCGTCTTGCTCCCCACGAAATGCAAGGCAGTCAGGGCTGGTGTCGCGGGAGGCCAGCCCGCCGCAGCTGTCGACGCCATCCTGGCCAAGCCGGTGGCCGATCTGGCCGCGTGCTTCAGCGACTGCCGCCCGAAGTGCCCGAAGCCCCGGGATGGCCGGAAGTGGGTGTGGAACCTGTGCGTCCACGCTTCGGCCACGGATGGGGTTCGTGCTTGCCTGGCAGCCATGGTCGGCACGCGGGGCGGTGGCGTCGAGTTCCAGGTTTCCCACGCGGCGGTCGCCCAGCAGGAGCGTGATTTGTGGGATGTCCTGAGGCGCCAGCAGGGCGCGGCGGCGTGAGTGTCCTCTCCCGTCGAATTCATGAGCCTGGTAGGCGCCCCTCCCTCTTCCAGTTCCCCCCCTTCCTCAGTCCTCCGGACCCGGGGCCCTCTCCCTCCCTCCCTCTCCCTCCCCGGCGGCTTACTCGGCAGGGCGGTCTTTTACTCGGCAGTTGGATTTTTAGCACATCTCTGCGTGTCTAGACTTGTAATATTGCCATCCATGAGTTGTGATTGCCACATGCGTGCCTTGGCGCATCCATCCTTGCGTGTTTAGACTTGTAATCTTGCCACTCATGTGTTGCGATTGCCGCGGGCGTGCTCTTCTTCCTGAATTAATCGTCATTGCCCCGACCGGGGCCGTCTTCCTGAATTCATACAACTTGGCCCTCGGGAGGCCGCTCTTCCATAATTCTGTGCATTTTCTCACATCACACCTCGCAGGCGCGGCCCGCCGGCGGCTTGCCCTGAGTTGGGCCGCCGGCCACGGTGAGGGTGGGCGGCGCCGGCGGTGGGTGCCCACCGCGCCTCGGCAGCCGCTCTGCCCTCGCGGGTAGCGGCCACCGCGCCCTCGGCCACCTGGGCGGCGACGCCATCCGGGCCAGAGGGGGAGGCTGCCCTCAGCCTGCCGCTGGCGCAGGGCCTCGCCGACAGCTCCCCGCTGCGATTCATGCCAAAAGAAGCTGTTTGAGCAAACATGGATACGGAGATGAGGGGAACCAAGTGCGGTTGGGGCGCGAGGAAGGGGGGGGGCAGTGTCCATCACGTCCAGCGCATGCGCATGCTGCGCGCGCGTGTGCGCGTGTGTGCGGGGGGGGGGCTGTTCACCAGCATGGCCACCGATGGAACCAGAGCTTTTGACCATCCCGAAGGCACGTCCCATGTGGACGAGTTCTAAGCTTCGAGGGCCCCCTTTCCCGCGCTTGCCCCCCCTGCCACGCGCGCAGCACCCCCCGAGGACGAGCGGGGGCGACTGAAGGGGGGGAGATGAGGCGGGGGCCACCCATGAGAGGAGTGAGAGAGGCCACGGAGCCAGGAGAAGAAGAGGCAGGAGGGAGAGAACGACGGCGGGGACGAGAGGGAGACAGCAGCGCAGAGAGCAGCACGGGGGAGGGTGGGTGCTGGCTCCCATGCGATGCCACGCAATGCGATGCTACGCAATGCGATGCAAGACTAGCGGCCCCAGATATCGCGGGCAACGCGCTACTTGGAAACATTAATCCCCCCCCTCATCGCCCCTCCGTCTGGTCACCTTCCCAACCGTCCTCTCTCTCTTATCCTCCTCCCCCCTCGTCGTTATCCTTGTCCTCCTCCTCCTAGCCATCCCCCCTCTTGTCCTCCTCCACCTCTCATAACAAGGCAGGAAGCACGGGTGCGAGCTGCCTCGAAGCTGCCCAGCACGTGGAGGGGGCGGCGGCGGCGCGCCCACTCCCTCCTGCCCCTCCAGAGAGGACGACGGCGGCAGCCGACAGCAAACGGATGCCTCTCAAGGGGAGGTGGGCAATTGCTTTTGCAAGGGGCACCCCTGGAATCTGACGGAAAGCTCGGCCACGTCACGGTCCTTCGCGAGAGGCGAGGAGGGGGAAGGAGGAGGAGGAGGAAGGAGGAGGAGGAGGATGAGGAGGAGGAGGAGGAGACGCGGGAGGGGGAGGGGGGGGGGGGGGGAGGAGGAGGAGGAGGAGGAGGAGGAGAAAGGAGAGGAGGAGGATGAGGATGAGGATGAGGACGAGGGCGAGGATGAGGGCGAGGATGAGGATGAGGCTGAGGAAGAGGAGGAGGAGGAGGAGGAGGAGGAGGAGGAGGAGGAGGAGGAGGCAGGGCGGGGAGGGGGGGGGCCTGGCAAAAAAAATGTGTGCCGAGCGCTCACATCCGTAGAAATCTGAAGCTGCAGAAATTGACAAAATCTGGTCTCATGTTGATAAAACATGTGTCCCACCTGAAATCGAAATTAACAAAATCTGCGCACATATTGTCAACGCGTATTTGTGAGGTATAACATGGCTTGTTAAAATCTATCCCGTCGTAACGCTGATTTTAACAAAATCTGTGCAGATGTTGTTAAACTCTGGTTTCCAGATGCAGAATCTATCAACATCGGTGGTCATGTTATCAAAATCTGCTTTTAAACGCATGTCATGCTTTAACAAAATCGTATCATTTGTTGTTTAAACACGTTCCCCTAACATATAAAAATGCTTATCAAACTCTGCTCATATCTTATCAAAATCCTCACTCCTGGAATTCCTCAAACACCAGAGCCCCCGAG